TCTCTGCGAGCACCACCAGGCCGGCCACCAGCAGCGTCGCCGCGGCAACGCCGACCGCCAGCCTCCCGTTGCCAGGCAACGCCATCGCGGGGCGTCACGGCAACCCGCGTGGGGTGGGGTGGTGGAGAGGGGAGGGGTTGGGGGGGTGGTGGGGGGAGGGGTTGGGGGGTGGTGGGGGGAGGGGGTGGTGGAGAGGGGAGGGGTTGGGGGGGTGGTGGGGGGAGGGGTTGGGGGGTGGTGGGGGGAGGGGGTGGTGGAGAGGGGAGGGGTTGGGGGGGTGGTGGGGGGAGGGGTTGGGGGGTGGTGGGGGGAGGGGGTGGTGGAAAGGGGAGGGGTTGGGGGGGGGTGGTGGGGGGAGGGGTTGGGGGGTGGTGGAGAGGGGTGGGGGGGGTGGTGGTGGGGGAGGGGTTGGGGGGTGGTGGGGGGAGGGGGAGGGGTTGGGGGGTGGTGGAGAGGGGAGGGGTTGGGGGGGTGGTGGGGGGAGGGGTTGGGGGGTGGTGGGGGGAGGGGGTGGTGGAGAGGGGAGGGGTTGGGGGGGTGGTGGGGGGAGGGGTTGGGGGGTGGTGGGGGGAGGGGGGGTGGTGGAAAGGGGAGGGGTTGGGGGGGGGTGGTGGGGGGAGGGGTTGGGGGGTGGTGGAGAGGGGTGGGGGGGGTGGTGGTGGGGGGAGGGGTTGGGGGGTGGTGGGGGGAGGGGGAGGGGTTGGGGGGTGGTGGAGAGGGGAGGGGTTGGGGGGGTGGTGGGGGGAGGGGAGGGGTTGGGGGGTGGTGGGGGGAGGGGTGGGGGGGGTGGTGGAGAGGGGAGGGGTTGGGGGGGGTGGTGGTGGTGGGGGGAGGGGTTGGGGGGGTGGTGGTGGAGAGGGGTGGAGGGGTTGGAGAGGGGAGGGGTTGGGGGGGGTGGTGGTGGAGAGGGGAGGGGTTGGGGCGGGTGGTGGAGAGGGGAGGGGTTGGGGGGGGTGGTGGAGAGGGGAGGGTTGGGGGGGTGGGGGGAGGGGTTGGGGGGGGGTGGTGGAGAGGGGAGGGGTTGGGGGGGGTGGAGAGGGGAGGGGTTGGGGGGGGTGATGGAGAGGGGAGGGGTTGGAGGGGGGTGATTGGGCAAGGGGGGCGGGGTGATGATGGACGCCCGCAAACTCTTGCGCGCGGACGCGATGAGATGGGGATGCGTTGCGATGCGTTCGCCGAATTCTCTTCGCGATTGAATGAGGATAGTGGTAGGCTGAGTCGGGGGTTGGATTGGTTGGTTGGGGGGGGGGGCTGTGGAGTGAAGGGGGGGGGGCACCGGTGACGATGTGAGTGGGAGTAGAAATTGAAGGCGGGGTTTGCTCGGATGTGACGGGCGACCAATCGCAAACCTGGAAAGACAAGAGATGGGGGGGGGGGCGAGAGAGAGATGGAGAGAGAGGGGGAGAAGGGGGGGGGTACAAAAAAATCAAATTATACAAAGATGAGTGTCGCGAGCGATTTCCCTTCATAATCCCCGACGAGATTTTGGAGGAGCGGCTCCCGTGTACACACACAAACGCACGCGCGCTCGCTCGCTCGCTCACACGAGCGCGCACGGCACTCAATCAACTCGAAGCCGTATTAGGTCAGACCTTGCTGGTAATTTACCCAGGGATTCTACGCCTCGGATTTCAGTCGCTCCGTTTGCACAGAGGCTGGTTTGGCTGTGGAGGAGAGTGGGGGCGTGTAGATTGTGCGTGTGTGTCTGTAGTGTGTGTAGTGTGTGTGTGTAGTGTGTGTGGTATGTGTGTGTGGTGTGTGTGTGTAGTGTGTGTGTGTAGTGTGTGTGTGTAGTGTGTGTGTGGTGTGTGTGTTGTGTGTGTGTCTGTAGTGTGTCGGTAGTGTGTGTGTGTCTGTAGTGTGTGTGTGTGGTGTGTGTCTGTAGTGTGTGTGTGGTGTGTGTCTGTAGTGTGTGGTGTGTGGTGTGTCTGTAGTGTGTGTGTGGTGTGTGTAGTCTGTGTGTCTGTAGTGTGTGTCTGTAGTATGTGTGTGGTCTGTGTGTCTGTAGTGTGTGTAGTGTGTGTGTGTAGCTGTAGTGTGTGTGTGTAGTGTGTGTCTGTAGTGTGTGTGTCTGTAGTGTGTGTGTGGTGTGTGTGTGTAGTGTGTCTGTAGTGTGTGTGTGTAGTGTGTGTGTAGTGTGTGTGTCTGTAATCTGTGTATGTGGTGTGTTTGTAGTGTGTGTGTGTCTGTAGTGTGTGTGTAATGTGTGTCTGTAGTGTGTGTGTAGTGTTTTGTGTAGTGTGTGTGTCTGTAATGGGTGTGTCTGTAGTGTGTGTGTGGTGTGTGTGTGTAGTGTGTCTGTAGTATGTGTGTCGGTAGTGTGTGTGTCTGTAGTGTGTGTATTTGTGTGTTGGTAGTGTGTGTGTCGGTGATGTCACCATGGAGCTTGTGCCAGGCTATGTGCACGTTAAGGTCCTGTGAAGTGTTGAACGCCCGCTGGCAGGAGATCACGGGGCAGACCCAGGTGTCACGGGTCGATTGACTGAGATGACTGGCTGATGCACCACCTGTGCCCCCTACTGTGCCAACTTGCTGTCCTTTAGCACCCGGCGCTCCACTCGTTGTTGTGAGCGTCGCTCCTCCGCCCTCCGTTGTTGCAGGAGGGCGAATGCCTCCAACTGCCCAGTAGCGTCCTTCACGAGCCTCCTCCACTGAGGCCGATCTTGACACCGCTGGTACCAGTCGTCGGCAAGTCCACTCAGCTCCACATCCTTTTGTACCACATCACTCCATCTCTTCTCTAGCCCATGCCGTGCCCGTTTAGCCCCCTCGATCCGGCCGAACAAAAGCTGTTAAGGCATGCGGTAGCTGGGCATGCGGGCTACATGGCCCAGCCAACGCAGCCTTGCCTTCCGAAGAAGCTCACCGATGGGGCCTTGTCCAGATCTTTCAAGGATTTGTGAGCTCCTCACACAATCCAGCCTGATTAAACCCAGGATGGATCGTAGGCAGGCCAGCCTAAATGATTCTAACCGGCGAAGATGTTCCATTAGGGGGGGGTCCACGTTTCGCAAGCGTAGAGAAGGGAGGGCATGACCGTGGCCGACAAGACCCAAAGCTTCGTGTGGAGTGACAGACCAGGTAGCAGCCACACCGCGCTACGCAGCCGATGAAAAGGTAATGCCGCTCGACTGATTCGGGAGTGAGACCTCTGCTGTCAAACCGGAGCCGGTCATGAGCACACTGCCCAGGCGTAGAAAACTCTCCACTCTCTCCACAACTGCCCCATGGGGGTGGAGTGTCTGATGGCACAAAATACTCAGGCAGACACAGAGACACAACCAACACACACAGACCCCCACACATGGGGACCCAAACACACACAGGCACAACAACAACCGCCATTCGCCACTAAGTGGCGGTGACGTCACCACGACGCTTGTGCCAGGCCATGTGCACCTTGAGGCCACGTGAAGTGTCGAACGCCTGCTGGCAGGAGGTCACGGGGCAGACCCAGATGCCACGGGTCGACTGACTGAGATGACCGAGATGACCGAGATGACTGGCTGATGCACCACCTGTGCCCCCTACTGTACCAACTTGCTGTGCTTTAGCCACCCGGCGCTCCGCTCGTTGTTGTAAGCGTCGCTCCTCCGCCCTCCGTTGTTGTTGGAGGGCGACTGCCTCCAACTGCCCAGTAGCGTCATTCACGAGCCTCCTCCACAGAGGCCGATCTTGACAACGCTGGTACCAGTCATCGGCAAGTCCACTCAGCTCCACGTCCTCCTGTACCACATCACTCCATCTCTTCTCTATCCCGTGCCGCGCCCGTTTTGTCTCCCTAGTGGCAATGTTTACACACCGCACCAGGTACTCATTTAAGGCTGAGTCGACCTAGGCGAGGCCCGAGACCGGTTCAGATCATCGTCGCTGGGTGTTGGCCGTGAGCGGGAATCGAACCCGTGCCGCCGGGTTCATAGCTTAGCGCAGCGCGCTAACCGCTACCACTACCGCACAGACAGACACACACCCAACACCACGCACCAACACACACACACACTCACACTCCGTGTCAGCTCTCCTCCCCCCACTTCTCCCCTCTCCCGCTCTCAATTCCGCTTTGTTTAGATCTCTCGCCCAGGCTGATCTCTCCCCAATTCCGATCCAACACCTCGCTGTTGGTCGGTGGCTTTGAACGAACGCACAACGCGTCTTCCTGGCCTGCAGGCTGACTCCACATGCAAAGACAAAGATTCCCCAGCCGCACCCGCCCCCCTCTCCCCCTTGCCCTCCCCGTATCGCCTTCGCGAGACCGCTGGGGCAAGTGCTGTTGGCGAGCACCTATTGAGGCCGGCACGGTTACACACGAGGGGTGGGTGGCCAGCACCACAACACACAAAGATTCCCCCGTATAGCCTGAACACACAGGTGGGGCAAGTGCTGTTAGCGAGCACCTATTGAGGCCGGCACGGTTACACACGAGGGGTGGGTGGCCAGCACCACAACACACAAAGATTCCCCCGTATAGCCTGAACACACGGTGGGGCAAGTGCTGTTAGCGAGCACCTATGAAGGCCGGTACAGTTACACGAGGGGGGTGGGTGGCCGACACTACGCCCGGCCGCCTTTGTCTCCCCAGTGGCGATGTTCGCGCACTGCACCAGGTACTCATTTGAGGCTGAGTCGACCGAGGGGGAGGCCCAGGGCCGGTTCAGATAATCGTCACTGTGGTGTTGGCCGTGAGCTGGGAATCGAACTCGGGTCCGCTTGCCGGGTTTGTTAGCGGTTAACACGCTAACCGCTGCACCACCGCTCCAAAGATAACAAAGATCCCCCGTATAGCCTGAACAGACTGTAGGGGCAAGTGCTATTAGCGAGCACCTATGAAGGCCGGCACGGCACCCGAGGGGGTGGGTGGCCAGCACCACGCCCGACCGCCTTTGTCTCCCCAGTGGCGATGTTTTACACATCGCGCCAGGTACTCGTTTGAGGCTGAGTCGACCTAGGGGAGGCCCAGGACCGGTTCAGATAATCGTCACTGTGGTGTTGGCCGTGAGCGGGAATCGAACTCGGGTCCGCTTGCCGGGTTTGTTAGCGGTTAACACGCTAACAGCTGCACCACCGCTCCACACACAGAGACACGCACAGACAGACACGCGCACGCACGCGCACGCAGATCCGTTTCAAGTGGAATCTG